CTGCGCCCTCTACGTCGCCTGCCGCAAGAGCCTGGTGCCCACGGTGGGGAGCGGCCTGATGGAGGGGAACGGCGTGTCGCTGACCAGGATCCTGCGCTCCGCCAGGCTCAGGTGAGCTCTCCCGGTCGCCGCGGCCGGTTGCCGTGGCTAATTGCCGTGGCTAATCGCCCTGGCTAATGGCACCCGCTGACGCGCTGCTCCGCTGAAGCTGCTGATGCAGGTACCCGCTCCTTTTCCCACGGCTCCAGGCGCTGCGAAATGCACGTCCCGAGGTCGTAGTATGAAAGCAATAAATCCTCTTTTGTTAGAAATGGAAATAAGATGCAAATGCGTAATGTTCAACTCCCAGCCTTTGAAAAACCACCCACGTCGGACCAACGCTTGTTCCACCCACGCCGCTGATTTCTTTTTCTTTTTGTAGTTAATGGAAACACAAACAGGACCTCTGAGCCTTCTGTTGGCAGTCCAGACGAGGCTCGTGCCTGACGCGGGGCCTCGTTTGGCCGAACCGCTGGGTGTGGTGTTGGCGGCCGTGCCGCGCAGCGTTCTGGGAGCGCGCAACGCTGCGATCGCAGGCGTATTTACGTGCCGCGGGGGCTTTCTGGCAGGCAGCTCCGCGTGCCGTGGCAGCTCCGGCCCGAGATGGCAGAGCCGGGAATGTTTCTGTTTGCTTAAAGACCCGTTCTCAGCTGAACTGCCAGAGGGGGTTTGCCCGTGTAATGGCACCCGCGGGCTTTTGTGTCAGTAACTTTGGTAGCCACAGGCTCCTGTTTGTGGTTTTGTTGCCTCTCCTGCCTCCCCCCGACACGCGCGGAGCTGCGCACGCTCTTTCCTTTCTACCCCTCCCCGAGCTGACACAGCCGTGCTGGCAGCCTCTAAATAAAGTTAGTGTTTCCGCGCCCGCACCTTGAAGAGAATCAAAGAGAAAAACCAAAGTGATAAAAGGCAAAAAGCTTACAATGTATGCAGTTTGGGAGTCTATCAAAATAAATGGCAAACCTATATATTAATCAAGTTAGTTGTTAAGGAGTAACTATGTTGCGTTTTGGCCTTTTAAAAAAATCAGAATAAAGGAAGTTAGTTAAAGCTCAAAATAAAGCAGACTTTTCTTTTTTCTCTTAAGTTTAATTCAGTTTTTTAGCAAAATGAAGAAGTGGATGGACATGTCAAATCTGCCACAGGAATTCCGAGAGCGAGTGGAGAGGCTGGAGAGAAATTTTGAAGTGTCAACTGTGATTTTCAAAAAATTTGAACCAATATTCTTGGATATATTTCAAAACCCTTACGAAGAAACTTCTAAACCACAGCGAAGCAGGAAACAGAGGTATTTTTGAGATTTAATGTGACTTTTCCCTGGAAAGGGCTATACCTAATACAGATTTATTAAAATTAAGATCATCATTTGTGCTTTAAAAAGTTACGTCAAGTTCCAAAATGATAGGGCCTCGACTCTGAAATGCAGTGAGCACAGAAGCATCCCTACCCTTGATGGGGTACGGCGCATGCCAGCAGAGCTTGGCGGCCGGCGGCTGTTTGCGCAGTTCCCCGTAACATGCGGTAGCTGCCCGTGGTGAGAACGCCTGTGTGTGGTGGGGAGGGGTGCAGTGGGACAGATTAACTGGGGGTGCAGCGAGGCCAGCGCTTTCAAGGTTTAGCAGAAATAACTTGGGTAGCACAGGGCTATTTTGTCTTGGCAGAGCACCGGCTGAGGTGGTTGGTACCGTGGCGTAATCCCTCCCTACAAAGCGGCATTACGTCCACGGTGACCTCGCGTTACCGGGCTTTTAACATGATTATTGCCAGAGGAGGGGTGACACGTGAATGGGAGAAAGTTACAGCTGATGCGCTCGTTTTTATGACAGACTTAGTAACTGGTGGTGTCGTCTTCCAGATGCACGCAGAACTTCTGCCTTAATTAAAGGAGCTTGTCCGCATTCCCTGCCGACTGTGCGGCACCTCTGTGGTACCTTTATAGTGGGAGTGGGACCCAAATGGTGAGGGAGCCGAGCTGGGTCTCTGCGCGGTGTTTCTGCCAGCTCACGGGTGTCCTCGGGATGAGAGGGGGGATAATCGCTCGGGTGAAATGCTCCAGCGTAGCTCCATGTCTACAGTATGGCAGGTAGCTTTGTGGGCATCACTGCGTATTGGGAGAAATTTTGTCGGTATGCTCTGTTAATGTTCCCTCGTTGGAACAGCGTTCATTAGGGTAACCGCAGCTTTAGCTTCTCTGTGGGCTCTCTCGAATAATGTCTTCCCTGGTCTTCCAGCTCCGTGGTTTTGGATAATCTCTACTCCAGACACGATTCAGCAGATGAGCTGTAATACAAGCTGTAGTTGCATATTTTGAAAGGATGACGGGTGCTTTAGTAAAATATTTAGGAAAAGCCGTCACTGGAATTTATATAGCCCTTGGCATCTTGCCGCCCGCAGCTGCGGGAGGGTCCCGTTAGAGGTGTGACACCAGCAAAATAGCGTGTCCGGGGTCACAGGCCGAAGGCAGCCGTGAGCTCAAAAAAGCGTCGGGAGGTCGGGGATGCTGTGCAGAACGCTCCGCGGAGCGAGGCAGGAGAGTGTCCGTCGGTGAAAGCTGAAACAGAGACATGTAGCTTAGGTTGTGCCTTAGTGTGAAATTAAGATAAACAACGGCTCCGACTGTTACTTTGAGCAAGGAAACGGAATGAAATTCTTACTGTAAAACAAGCTTCAGCTTCCTGGAACTGAAGACTGACTTCTCCCCCTTTTCCTCCTTGACAGACGGGTGCCATGCGGTGTGAAAGATCTCTTCAACTTCTGCTGGACTCTCTTTGTGTACACGAAGGGTAGGCTTGCTGGCTTTAGCTGCATGGTTTGTATACATTCTGAGTTATGAACTTCTTTTGTGTTGCTTGACGTGATATGCTGTCTCTTAAAGGTAATTTCCGTATGATTGGAGATGATTTAGTAAATTCCTATCATTTGCTTCTGTGCTGCTTGGACCTGATTTTTGCAAATGCCCTTTTGTGTCCAAATAGAAGAGATTTGCTAAATCCGTCGTTTAAAGGTATGGTGGGGACAGATTATTTAAAATCAAATATGCTTTGTTCTCTTCTTTCTTTTTAAATGAAGTTGAAGGCCGGTTATCTTTCCCCCCCCCTCCCCCCTTGTTCTCAGGCTTACCAGCGGACTTCCACGCGACAGAGATCAAAGCCTCTGAAGACCCTCCTTGCATCATTGCCACACTATGTGAGCTGCATGACGGGCTTTTAGTAGAAGCAAAAGGAATAAAGGAACACTACTTTAAACCATACATTTCAAAACTATTTGATAGGAAGGTACATCTTACCAGTTTTAAGAATGCGTGGTAGTGCTCAGATGAATGATCTTGAGACCATTTAAATCCTGCAGGTTCTGCAGGAAAGCGTACTAATAGACAAATGAACTTGGGCTGGGTCGGGTCTTCTTTGTATGTATTTTAGCAGGAGCAGAATTTACTCTCGCTTGTAATGACGTGTGCTGTAAGGTCCCCCGTGTTTTGGCTTTTTATGTCAGTGGAGAATCTTTGCTTTCCTTTCTTGGCAGCATGAAACTGAATTGTGGGTGATAATGTTTTCTTCAGGCAAAAAAGTAATCTCATTGTGAAATAATTTTATGGGATAACTGTCATGATAGCGTGGGTCCTACTGCTGGTCTTGGAGTTGAGCAAAATGCTTCGGAAGGAAGAGGTCGAGGTTGCAGGTGTACAAGTCTTCTGTCTGGTTTTGATCCTGGAAATTTTTTCCAAGCTCTGTGCAAGTTTCTGTGTAGTCGTTCATCAGGTCGGTCCCTAACCCGCCAGTGGAACAGATGTTAAAACAGCAGTGCTGTTTATCTAGAGCTCGGATAAAATTGGGCTTTGTACTCATCTGTTTGTCTTGCTAATGGCATTGTAGTCCTTTGGTCTAGGCAAAAAAAAGTCCAGTTATGCTCCTAAATCTCATTTCCTTTTTGGCTAAAACCATCATGCCCTCACACTGTTAGAGCTGGAACAGTTTTGATTCTTTTATATAAGATATTTCTGCTTTTTGTTCTTAGATCTTAAAAGGAGAATGTCTGTTGGATCTTTGCAATTTTACAGAAAATAAGTAAGTTACAGCTTATCTTCTTAATCATGGGGTTTCTAAAATAGAGGCCTTTGAATGCTAAATCTCATGTTTTCCTGTTCCTTTATCTTACCGTAACTAATGGTATTTAATTATTTATCAAAGCTGCTATCTGGCTGAAATGCTTTCTGGATCTGAGGTGTGTCAGATGTCAGGGGTCAGCTGCAGAGTTTCTTCCTTAATGTCAGGTTTGTGGTGCTTGCCCTTATTTTCTGGCAACTGTAGCCTTTGAGTAATCTAATGCAAATCAAAACCGTGACTCTGAAGTTCACGGATGTGTTTCTGTACACACCTCACACCTCAAATGTTATACCCGAGTAGGGAAGTCTTTAGATTCATTTATCGGCCTCCAATTGAGTGTATACATCTGTGAGTACAAGAGAAGTACTCAAAAGAAAAAGAAGCAACAATGGCAAAACCACAAAAAAGAGGTAGAGCATTTCTGTGGGAGGCAAGTATAATTGTTTCAGAAACTTTTTAAATTCGCCTCTGAAAGCTAATTTAAATGCAAAATATGAACAGCAGCTGCTTTGTTCTGGATCCCTTAAAGGTTTTTTTTGCCTTTTCCAAAAATACCTGATAATTTGTTTTTGCAAGGTGAGTTTTTAACTTGTTGGTTCGCTTTGAGAATTTTGGGCAAAGACTCAATTGTTTTAACAATGTAGGCAACTCTCAGATATAAAACGGTGTTGTGTGATCCGTTTCAGGCAGGGAACTTCTCTTAGTATTTCTACTTACAAGCTACTAGTATTACTTTAATAATACTGTCATGTAGAATGATACAGTAGTCCCTGTTCTTTTGTAAGTAGCTTGACGTCGAAAGGAAACATGGAAACCTTGCTGTTCCTTTGTCCAAACTTTTCACAGACCTGTACTTTTTCTAAAAGACACGGGGAAGGTGAACCTGCACAGGTTTCCTGTGGGATCAGAATCGCTTGCATCAGGAACACGTTATGTTCCATTAATATACGTGCTTAAGTGGCAGCTTGAATTGCTAAGACACTTCGCAGGCAAAAGATCTTTCGTACAGCGTTCATGTATCGTGAAAAATGTGCAGGCAGCATTTATTGATGCGAGCTGTTTCCGATTTTTATTCATAAGTTTCGTTCTGCTTCCCAAGTATAAGTTTAAAGCTTTGCAGCCTTCGTGAGATTAAACGTTCCTGTTTTACAGTTAGCTGGAATAAAGAAAATGAAAGATTTGTTTGGTATCGTATGTCAGTGGTGATTTTAGAAATTGAATCCAGGCGGCTAGCTCTTAAATTTCCCTTCCTCTGTACCATTATGAAAATTACAGGCTACGAAGTGGCAAAAGTGGAAATCAAATGTAGCTAGTTTAATGCAACTACCGTTAACGTGCTCTGTGTATACAAAGATTTAACCTCTGATCGGTTGAGTGCTTCCAGACTGTTTGATTCGCAGCTGGGATGGAAGCAAAGTTGTTTTTTCCTCTTCTTACTGGGAGCCAAACGTTGGTGGTAACTTGGGAGGAAGAGTGGTCCCTGCAGCGGGTCGCTGAGGGGACAGGGGAGGTTTCAAGTGCGAGGGAGGGCAGGGGTGACCGCCAGCAGATTGCCGGGGGTGGAGAGGTTTTGTTCACAAGCAGCACTGCTGCTGAAATCATTAAATGCTTTGAGCGCATGTTGGCTTCGGTTTTGTACCTTAGCTCCGCTGGCACCTTTTTTGTTTCTTCAGCAGTTTAACCTTTGATATAAAACCTGGGCTTCTCTTTCAGCAAAGCACTGAATAAAGAGTATGAAGAGTACGTTCTGACAGTGGGGGACTTTGACGAGAGAGTTTTTCTAGGAGCTGATGCTGAAGAAGAAATTGGCACTCCTCGAAAATTTCCTGCAGACGTGCCGGTAGGGAAAACGGCAGCAAGAGCTCATGTGGAGTGTCATCTTCAGCAGCATTTTGAAAAGGTGATTCCTTTAACATGTTGGTCTCGCTTGAAGTACTCCTTCAAGTTTTTCCATCCTTGTACACCGTTTGAATCGCTGAGGTGACTCTGGATTTTTTGAACTTCCTCCTGAGAGGAGGATGATGAATGCCATTTGGATGCTGTCTTGCTAAGGAGAAATGGTGATGTCTTCTTTCCTGTGGAATTTAGTAAATAACTATTCCTTAAACAGGATGCGAGCACTCTCATGGGTGTAGTCTGGTTTTGTCCAAGAAAAATCAATAAGTAGTTGAGACCTAAATATATAGGTCTTATGGTTTTGTTCAAACTTCATTTATACCCCATAAGAATACCATGAAACCTTTACGCTGGATTAATTTATTTGTTTTCCTGATATTTCCTTTTTTAGGACAGGAAAAGTCAACTTGTGTACTATTCTGTGGAAAATAACATTCAAGACATAAAACCCACCAAAATCTAACCCTTCATTACAAAAAGTAGTCTATAAACAGAGTTAATGTTTCGCTATGTTTAAAAATGTAAAATGTATTTAATGAAGTTGGCATGTGGGAAAACACTTGATTGATTACTTTTTAAACTTGGATAAGGGGAAAAAATGGTGCTGCCTGTGTGCAAGAACCACGTGCTGTTTGATTTACATGTCAATTAAAAATATAAGAATACTTATTACAAGGTGCTGGTGTAAATGAATCATACGGCTTAGCTCTTTCTCCCAACTATAAGTGTATTTCATATTCAGGCAAATTAAAGATGGGGTTTGGAGTGAGTTTATCAATTTTGAACTTCAGTTTCCGTAGTATAATAATGACCTCATTGCTCTTTATGCATACTGACTGCAGGCTTAGCCTTTCTTCATTATTTGCCTTGTATCTTCAAAATGTCGTCTGCTCTAATAATTCAAAACCAAATGCTTTATTGCATCACTTCCAGAAAGCGGGATACAAGTAGGTAAGTGCAGTCGACACAGCTCCATCTGCTTAGGGCTACATCAGTCTTGGGGTAAGGGGAGGCTGTAGGTCCACCGGGGCAGCATTTCCCAAAGGACGTTCTCCGTGCCCCTCTCCTAGGCAGCTCTGCCACTACGCCTTCTGTCACCCAGCTGACGTAGTTGGGGACTGTGAATGGAAGCATATGCTTTCTCTTTCTTGCCCTGTATTTTTCAATGTTCAAGTGAGCTTAAAAATTTACAGGGTTTAAAATTTAAAGTCTTGTTTTCCTGTAGTTTCTTTTAAAAAAAGCTTTGAGTTAATTTTAGCCTGCCTGCAGATTTGTTATATTTTGTATTTATGGAGTCCTGGGAAAACTTTAACTAATTTCTAGTCAGTTCTGAGATCGCAGGTTTGATGACAGCCTTCAGGCTGCGTACTAGCGGTGTCATTTTAATCTTTGGCGTGATTTTGCAGGAGATGCTCATTTGAAAGGTTCTTGAAACAGTTCTGTTGACTGATTTTATCGATTTTTTTTCTTTCTGTCTGGCAGAAAAGGTCATTTGCACCTTCAACTCCACTGACTGGAAGAAGATACCTACGAGAGAAGGAAGCTGTCATCACTCCTGTTGCTTCAGCAACACAAAGCGTGAGCCGGCTGCAGAACATTGTGGCTGGATTGAAAAATGCACCGAGCGAACAACTTATAACTATTTTTGAGTAAGTACATCCACTGTGGCTGCTCTCATAGAAACGGAAACTCATCTTTTCGTGCTTGTGACTGCCTTCTTGCTCAAATTTGACTTTTTTTGTTTGGTGCAGAATATTTTTGTCTGTTTCTGTATTATTTCTAGTTGAAGGATCTTCTGTTTTCTACATGGTCTCTTTTTCTGGAGAAGGATAACTGAACACACACACCCCCCCCCGACTTCTCATCACCATTGTATTAATGTAGCTTCAGGTTTTGCTAATGTTTATTTAGCTGTTTGTTTGAAAGCCAAATACTTTTTTGTTTGTCTTTTGTTTGTTTGTTTGTTTTATTTTAAACAAGTATGGCTCAATTAAAAGATACGGTAACTACGTTGGCAGAGTTTTTGGGGGAGGAGGGAAACGTTAGAGTCAACAAGCTATATAATCTTTGCCTTAAAGAGCTGGGAAGATAAGATTAAAAAGGGTATTTCCCGAACATCCATGCAAATTAAGGCCTTGCTGTATTATGGTGTAAGGTCTCCAGATATTTTTTTTTTTAATTCATCAGAATGGACATTTAGTATTAGCGCTTAATACTTGAAGTGCAAAAGTGATGTGTTTTTTTTTTTTTTAAAACCACCTTCATAAATAGGTGAAAAATACTACTTTTAGTTCTCATCTTTGGAGTTATGTATATTTTGAAAGTTTTCCTAGCACTTGTTCTTAAAAGTTTACAAGTGCTCAGCAAGATGCATTTCTATTTTGAATGTTTCTTTGATTGTTTTTTAAGGACTGTTTGATATTATTTATATTACACAACTATAACATTAACGTGCCTGCAATCTCTAATGGAAAAAATGTGTTTGTTCAAGTAATAAACCGGTCTGTCGAGAGATGTAAATATTAAACTGGATAAAAGAACTGAGTAAACCTCTGACAAGAAATGTGTTGCGTACTTTGCTCATCTTGGATCCAAGTTCAGCGACATGCACTGTCTGAGCAGGAGGAATGGAAAGAATTGTGGTTTGGACTGTGTGTAATAGGCTGTGCTTTTGGATATTTTCTCTTTAAAATCCCTTGGAAGCGTAACTTTGAAGTTAATTAGAAGGCTTTGTTCAATGAAACCTTACTTTATTTCAGTGCTAGCTTTTCAAAATAGTTTCGTGTCTTAGACACTAGTCACAAGCTGCTGTCCTCTAATGCAGCATTGCTGGGAAATCTGGAAGCAGTCAGAAAGAGCGTCTCCAGACAGAGAGATTCTCTGGCCCCTTTTTGTGGTAGTGACTGTGTGGAGTTCATCAGTTCCTCTCTGCCTTGCTAGTAAAGCAGGTATTTGTGGAGAGATGCTGACTGTTCACTTTGAAAGCTTTCCTGTGCTCCCTCAAACCGTGCCTGGTTTGTGTGGTCTCATGGACGCCGTTGGTTGGTTGGTTGCCTGTTGTAGCATCCTTCCTACCGCCTGGCTCCTAGCAGATATGTTTTTCTCCTGAGCGTGCTGCTGTAGCCCTTGCTTTCTCCTGCATTTGTTCCAAAATCTGCATAGCCTCTTAACTCTGTTAGGAAAGGAAAAAAGGAAACAATATTTCTGTACGTTTCATGTTTTCCTCTGTTCTCTATGGTAATATGGGTTATTGCCTGGTGAGGAAGGCTCAGTATCACTAGCTTCTCTTCTTTTTATTTGGGTGGTATTTCTTTTGTTTGTTTTTTGAGGATTTTTTTGAAACTGGATATTGATTTATACAAACAAGGCTTTCTCTCTGCGTTCTGCTTCAGGTCTTGTGCACGCAGCCCTATGGAAAGCATTATGAGCAGAGTGAAAGAAATAGGTGAGACGTTCTGTCGCAGCTACACTCAGTCAACAGATGAACAGCCAGGATCTCATATAGGTATGGACGTGAAATGCACGGGATGTTTCAAAATATTAAACCAGAGCAAATGAAATGCATACGTACACTGTTGCCTAAGTATACAGTGGTTTTTAACCCAGAATACAGTGGGTTTTAACCCAGAACATATCCAAACAGAAAACTGTTGCTGTCAAGCAGAAGACTAAAGAATAAAACTTTATTACAGAGTAAAACCAAGGTTGCAGTTCAAAATGGGATAACCAAGAGAGAATTGAAACTATAGCAGCTCTTCACAAAAATTGTAAACTTGCATTCTTCTTAGATTAAAATTTAAGGGAAACGGAATACAAATAGGAAAATTATTATTGCAACTGTCTGCAAAATTACATCACTAGAAATATGAAAATACATAATCCTTTCAAACATTGCTAGAATTTCATGCTGTTCTTGTAGCTAGTGGATTTCTGAACATACTTTTTTGATTTGCAAAGTCTATACATACACACACATGCACGCGCTATTTTCTTAGAGAAGGACACGTACTGGTCAATTGAGCCTTAAGACCGTTTGTGCAAACAGCATTGGGCTTCATCTCTGTTTGTTTTAAATTCCAGATTTTGCTGTAAACAGATTAAAACTGGCAGAGATCTTGTACTATAAAATCTTGGAGACTGTAATGGTGCAAGAAACACGAAGACTACATGGGAAGGATCTGACTGTAAGTAAAGAACTGGCAAAAGAGGAGAACACTTTTTGTAACCCGCTTTAGGGGGTTATCTTCAGACAGTTCCAGGACAGAGCAGTCTGCAGTAAAGCAGTCTGTGTATATTGTTAATGTTAAAAAAGGAGAAATATATGGGAGATGCCTAAATGTAGTTTTTACTGCTATTAAAAATGGTATAATTCTGACATAACTAACCGTCTTAATTTGTGTTGCCTTCTAGAATCACAACTTTATGGACAGATAACTTTTATTCTCTTCTTTATCCAAGTAACAATATCAATACTTCATGTTAGACAGCAATGCATTTGCTCTGCTTTGTGATTCATAATGAGGAGGCCAGTTCATTCGGCCGTAAGATGAAAAATGTGATGGTTTTGGCGCTGTTGGTCTACTTCCAGTCTTTGCCATTCTAGACATCCCTGTAAAAAGGGGAGATTGTGGAAGGTAGAAAAAAGCAGTACCTCTTCTCTCCAACAATAAGCTATGTAGTATTAGTGCCACAAAATTCAAGCTTCTGTTTCCCAGACCTCAGATCATTGACATTTTCTGTAATCTCTTCAGGCTCTCTTGGAACAAGATGTCTTTCACCGCTCTCTGATGGCGTGCTGCTTGGAGATCGTGCTTTTCGCATATAGCTCACCGCGTACCTTTCCCTGGATCATTGAAGTTCTTGACCTCAGGCCATTCTATTTCTATAAGGTAAATAAATACTGTCTTAGGACCGGGTCTGTGTTAAAAATGTCACGTTACTGGACTGACAGCCTTAGAGGATGATGCTCTTCCTCCTAGGTAATCAAGTAGGAGCAGGACTGATGTTCATGTGTAATGTGCCTATTCTAAATTGTGGCTGTCCTTAAACATATTACCTGGAATGTGTAATGCTGGAGTTGAAGCTGAAATTTAAAGCAAGAAAACCATTTTGTAAACGGTACTTAACTGTAACGTGCTGCTGATCAACTTTTAGTTCTTGACATATATACACTTTTAATAGACTAAAGCATTCAAGCATATATTTTGATGATATTTGTATTTATTGACTAAAATATACTTCTGCTTATTAGAGATAAAATAGCAATAATATTCTTTGTGGCCTTTGGCTACTACTACTTATCACAGGCTTGCTTTGTTATTTTTTTTTTCTCTGTTTTGTTTTATATAATAGAACATAAAATCTCTTTTCCTGGGTGTTCCCTATTTTTGCTCTTTTTTTAACCTCATTCCTCCCTGCCTCCAATGTCATTTCTGTTCTTTGACTTGTTCGATCCTTTTATCATCTATCCGTATGCCTCCTATTTTTACTAGATCCCTAACAGCTTACTGCAGTTAGTCCTGAATAAATCAGAAGTAGTTCTGTTTAGATGATAACAACCAAAAAAATAGAACCCTTTGGGAGAGCTGTTTTATATTCTGTTCTTCCTTCTTTAATCCTCAGATGTAGGGCAGTAGTGAAACCGAAACAAATCTGTCAATATTGCTCTGGCTGTTGGTAGCCGACATCAACACCAGATGCACTGGTGCAGATCCAACTTTGCGGAACAGATGTACGTTTGATTTGAATGTTCTTTGCTATTCAGTGTGCGTTTGTGGCACTCATACTTGAAAGAAATTGCCATCACAAAGACTTCGCATGGGAGAGCCAATATTTATTTTTCCACTCGTGCCATTTGTAACTTTGTTCTTTGGGTGCTTAGTTTCCGTAGTATGTAAACACATCAATAAGTCCTGCAGGGAAGTTGTATGGCATTGCTATCTCTGGAGCTTCAGAAAAACAGGCTGAATGTTTCTCTGTCAGAAATAGGGGCAGAGTATCATATTTCAGGGGCCCTTCCAACTCTTTTCAACCTGATTTGTACATGTTAAGGGTTCTAACCTTTTCTTACATGAAACTTTCAAACAGTGGTTTTCAGCGCTTTTCATGATGGGCCGCTGGCTTGAAAGGAAGGAAAGCTTAAATGCTGGGTTCTCGCGTACCCAGCCTAAGCGGGTAAGCCTGCCCGTACCTTCCTCGGTATGCCGCACGTGCTGGATGCGGGCTGCGTGTGCTTAGTGCTTTCATTCTGCACATGCTTAGCAATGGGGAGAGAGGGCCTTAAAACCCCCCGGGAGCGGGTTGTTCTGCACCAATGGGACATCTGCTGTCCAGTTCCATCTCCTGGGCTGCCTGTGGGAAAGGGGGTTAAAAAAAGAGGGATCAGAAGAGTGTTGGGGAAGATTAAGATGCGAGGAGGAGGCTGGAGCATTCTACGTTGAAGAGAAGTTTCGAACAGGATTGTGAAACAAGTAACAATTTGATAGTGTTAAGCATGAGTGATATGACTTGGCTTTTGTGCCTGTGTCTCGTTACCATTAGGTAATTGAAGTACTGATTCGGTCCGAGGAAGGACTTTCCAGAGACATGGTGAAGCACCTCAACAGCATTGAGGAACAAATTCTCGAGAGTCTCGCCTGGACTCGGGACTCGGCACTGTGGAGTGCCCTCCAGGCCTCAGAAAACAAGGTCCCAACCTGTGAAGAGGTATGTTACCTGTTTTCCTTTTATTAGGAAATCCATGTTCTTTTTCTTACTGTTGTTTTATACAGAAAACCGTTCAAATGAGACAATTGCTGCAGAAGAACTTCTATTAATAGATTGGCACAAAGAAGGGAAATCTATTTGTTATTTTACACTGACATTTCTTATTTCTCAGGTAATATTTCCCAGTAATTTCGAAGCAAGCAATGGAGGAGGCGGGCTTGGGCATTTGCCTATGATGCCAATATCTCCTATAATTCATCCTCGAGTAAAAGAAGTTCGGACAGATCTTGGTGGGAGTTTAAGACGGGGTATGTTCAAGGCTTCTGATATGATTTGAATGTGTAAATTTGGGGAGAGGCGGGTTTAGACTTCTTTATAATTGCAAAAAGCAATCCTGAATCTGAGTTAAGCATTCAGAATTGTGAGGCCTCTTATTTGATCAAGGGAAAGTCTAGATGCATCCAGTCAAACCATTGCTGTGTCTTACTGGCAGCAGCCATTGGTGATAATGCTTCACTGCTGAACTGGAGCAGGTTTTGCTGCTGCTTTGATGCAAGGGTTACCTTACTCTTGGGCAGGTTGTCATCTGATGGCTTATTGTCCCTTGCTGTTCAGATTTTTCCAGTTTTGGGTTGGTTTGTTTGGTTTTTTTTGTTCTCGGTGAGTTTCACTGCATTTTACGTGACTTTTTTTAAATGGAATGACAGAGCTGCATTTGTTCCTCCTTCCTACAGAACTTTTTTGCAGGAGGGGAGGACAATACTTTGTCTGCAGTATTCTTTCCTCTGAAGAACTGCCTTGCTCTTTGCAGATTCGTAGGTATCACACAGAACTGTATCTGACAGTGAGGGTGAAGAGGCAGTGGCAGCGCTGTTGCTTTTTCATACTTCCTCAGTTAGGAATTGCTGCTTTTGTTGTATCCCAAACAAGAGTCCTTAGGTTCTTGCTGGTGCACTAGGGACTGACTGGTGGTGTGATGTTCTCTCCTTTTGTGTTTGTCTGGCAGATTGCATTACAAGACTGTTTGGGTTTTGTTTTTTAAATACTCATTAGGAAAGAGATGTATGAGCAGTTGCTGTGGATGTTATGGTTAGTTGTTTGATGGAAGGGAAAGCAACTTTGAGATGGTGTCTTATATATGGGTAGTACTGGGTGAGACTATCTTGTATATGAGAATCTGGTACCAGACGCTCCTCCTAACTTCAAATGGAAAATGGGGGGGATTGGAAATGTTTATTTGCCCCTGGTACCAAGAAAACCATCCTGGCAGAGTTAGAAGTAAGGTCTCCAGTCAGTCTTACCTGGCCAGTTACCCAGAAGGTTTCTGCTTCGTGGGAAATAGGAGGCTGCTGTCACTGGCATCCTCGCGAGCGGCTAGCAGACTTCAGCAGAAATGCAAAAAGCCCGAGGAACAGAAGCCTGTACGTTAGTATTGTGTACTTCAGTCTTACTGCTACTTACTTCATATCACCTAGGAACAGTGAACTGTGAGATTAGTTCTTCACTAGAAGTGATTTCTTGTACTCCGGTTTCGTAGTTTGAAGGTTAGCCTTTTCCCCTCCTGCGGAGAAGTATCTCTATTAAGCTGCTCCTCTTAAGGTTTTTTTCCTTTCTCTTTTGCACACCAGACACGCAGCCATTGTCACCAATCTCTGTTCACGAGCGCTACAGTTCTCCCACAGCTGGAAGTGCTAAGAGAAGGCTCTTTGGAGATGACAGCCCCAAAGAAATGCAGATGGAAAAAATTTTAACCGAAGGAACAAAGTTGACAATTGCTCCAGCGTCAAGCATTTCTGCTGAAAATGTGTCGGTGTCTCCTGGCCAGACGGTACTGACCGTGACAACAGCTACAGTACCGGGAAAAACGGGACAGAAGGTTACTATCCCACTGCACGGTATGAATTCTTCCCGTTTTTCTTCTCTACTAGATATTTTGCTTTTAAGATCTGCTGAGGCCGACCGTGCATCTTGAACACGTATCGCTTTTTCTTTTTTAAAAGAACATGTATCACTTTATCAATAAAAAAAAAAGCTTAAGTTTATACTGACATTCCTTCTGTGGAGACGTCTGAAACCTGACGAGCATGCTGAGGGTTCCCCCTTGCGAACAAAGCTGTGGAATTCTTGCTTCTTCCAGTTACACCTCACCACAGATGGAGCGATGCTTTGGTTCTCAGCTCCAATACTGATTAACTACTGTTTGTCTTAACTTTGGTCTATTATAATTGTAAAAGGCTCTGGAATTTCTGGATAAGGGCTACATGTTAACGTTTGCAAAATAGTGGGGGATTTTTGTTTTGTTGAAGTTGGGTGATGCTTGAATATTTCTGGAAATGATATATGAGAAATGAGTTTTTATAGCCTTTTTAATTTAAAAACTGGGTCTATAGATAAACATGAAAAGAAAAAAAATCTCCATTTTTCATGTTTAAGGAGATTTTCAGCAAGAGAATTTGACTACTGAGGAAACTAATGAGGACTGTATATGGTGTGCTGTTACGTTTGCAGAATAATACAAAAAAAGAAGAAAGGGAATGCCCACCTCCCCCAAAAGAGTGGAACAGTGACTACAGAAATTGTGATTGCTTGTAAACTTGGTACTTTCAGATAGTTTTAGAAATGATTGTTCACATTCATGTTCTTCCTTTAAGCGTTACCAGAAATGTAATTTTTAATCATTTCTGAAAACTCTAGGGACAAAAAGTCTTTTTAGCATCCAGTACAGAAGGATTAGATGCCTTTAGTGTAAGGTGTTTGTGAATGAATTTATGATTTGCAGTTTAACTCCTGCAACATGAGGAGAGCGAACGGTTTATTTCTGCATGTGTGTATCATCTCCAGGTATTGCAAATGAAATGGGTGGGATCACATTGATACCCATTTCGATGAATTTAGGTCAGCCATGTAAAATGGAGGCTCAGGCTCCCTGCCACCCTCAGGTGAATCAAGCACAAGAAGCGCATCTGTCATCAGCAAGCAAACCAAAGAAAACGGGATCCTTGGCACTGTTTTACAGAAAGGTAAGTGCCTTCGTTAGGAAGCCGTGCTTTACTGCTGTTCGTGGCCATGCTGAAACTTGCCTCCTTGTGCAGCTCTCATTACCTTTCAGTCTTCACGTACCTTTCCTTTGGCATGAGCAGTTCTTATATACCCAGGAGGAGAAGGGAAGAGATGTTGTCAAGTGTTGCAGAGAATCCAATTTCCCCTTTCCCCTCACCATGAGATGTTTCTTTTTTTTTTTTTTTCTTTTAATTAGCAGCTTCTATAAATAACTACCTAAGAAATATCAGTATTTTTTACTCCTCTTGTCTATTTTTACTGCCTCCCACATTTGCAAGGGTTAGACATATCAGAAATCAGATTATTCTCCTTGTCTTGCTTGTTCAAACTGCGCTGTTTTGGATCCTGCATCTGGAGATTCTCATTTGCAGTTTTCTGAGGTCCGCCCAGTAGTGCTGATCCTGCTGGTATGGGGCCTCGGAAAGCAGTAACGAATAACACGCTATCTAAAAGTTTCTAGACAGAAGGAACTTCTTGAAATTATGAAGGATTTAAGGGCTAAGTTAAGAACTGGATGTGTTTCAGAGAAACTTCAGATCGCTTGTTTGTAGTTGCTTTCATTTCCGATGTGGAGTGCGTGAGAGCTCTTTGGGGGAGGCAGGGGTAACTTGCCTAAATGCCTGCAAAGAACTTGTGCCTAACTTAGTCTCTCAAAAATATTAGATGTTTTTGCTGTTATTTTCTTACTAGAGAAGTTATTTTCAGAGGTTTTCCCCTTTTAGGGTATCTGTATTGTAAACCTAGAGAATTCTACTTTGAACAATCTTTAAGGTAAATCTTAATACAGACGCTAATTCCTGGAAACGCTTGTAAGCCACATCCTGTATCTGAACCACGGGTTCGTTAATTTGGCAGTGACAGCCTCTCTCTCTGAGGATGGGTTAGGAGTTGATCAGCCAGCTGCCAGGCCTGAGCTCAGGCTGCACTTGGGAAGCTTTGCTCTCAGCTGGGGAATGCTTCAGCTGTAGTCGTGTATTTGACAAACCATGTGGTAGGCAACATATTCCTCTTGGTTATGAAGGAGAACTAAAATCTTCACTTAAATTTGTCTTTACATTTTGACCTTGTGTTTACAGTGATCATCATATTCAAAATGATAGATTTTCCCTACTTCCCTTTCTTGTTCCTGTTCAGTAGAGGAAGTGAAAATGAAATGAGCTCTTTCTGCTTTCCAACGTAAAGAATGTGCCTAATTACTGTCCATGAAGCAAGAACTTCTGAAATAAATGGAAGAAGGCTAATGTTGCACTTGGTATTTATTTCAGGTTTTGAGACAGATTTTTGGTATTGAGAAAGGAAAAAAAAATCCATCGTCTTGCTAATCTAAGATTATACGTAATCATAATTGAAGTCTGTCCCTTCTTTGTGCTTGTTGGAAGCGTTCCATTATAGTGAGTGATATGGTAGAGAAGCTGTAGTCCTGTTTTTAAGCGAATTTCCTATAAGCGTTAGAGATCCAGCATCTGAATGGAGTTGACAGCTTAGTCTTTGAAGACGTTGTCTTGGGCAGAGGGGGGAGATTTTGCAGAAACAAACTCT